TAATGATTTGTACATTGTATAAGAATCTGAAGATGTATACTCAAAAAAACTCAGTGTAAACTGCTTTTTATTAGAGAGTTCAAAGTGCAAAAGTAATATTTACTCAGTTGCAAAATCTGAATTTCTCTGTGTACTAGTCTACATAATTCAGTAGAGGAGTGCTAAAGAACTTTTTTTTCTGTTTCTGAACATTCAGTATTTTTTTTTGTTGAAGGCAGTTTTGAAACTGGAAGTTTGTGTTTCAGCTTGTATGAGGCTACGTAAAGTCACAAGACTTTGTTGCATTACTGCTTTTCTATGTTGTGTTCTGAGCTGAAAACTCTGGTAAAGATATGATATGCATCTTTAAATGTGAGTTTCTTTCTCTCTGTCTCTGTTACTGACTGTTTGGTCCTGGTGGGGTTTTTTTATACTCCGTGTTCGAAAAAAAACAAAGGATGCCGATGTTACACTTGCTTTTCTCAGATGTAAAAATTGAGCCTGGTGTTCTGCTGTCTGCATATCGGGATACTTGTGCATATATACTACTGGAGACCAATTATCACATTTTCTGTGTGCTGGAGTTCATAAGGGCAAACCCATTTTCACCGTTAAGCACCTGAAAACAAGGCTGCCCATCTTAACTTCTTATCAACCTATTCATAAGCTAAATATGGAATTCTTCAGTTCATTCTTCAGGCTCGCCTCTCATTTGACATCTGACAGTTATAAATGTGTGTGCCAAGCTCTTTCTTTTTTCTCTGATTTTAGCTGAGGCTCATCCTGCCACGCTAACCTTTACAGGTGTGTGTGCCGTCCATTACACTGTATGCGCTCTTCTGTGTCCCCTGGAAAATGTGACACCTCCATCACCATGGAAAATCTTCCATTCCCTTTAATCCATATTGAGCACCGAGCAGAGAGGAGGTAACTTCAGGAGCTCTGAGTAAGAACACAAGGGTCATTTTGAAGAAACAAAGCAATAAGGATGTTGAAAGCATATATTTGCTTGAGTTGACTTGATTTTGCTCGATTAAGGTACAAATGTCTTATCATGATTATTTTTATTAATATTTAGATCACGATTTTAAAACATGATTACTCATTGATTTTACAACATCTGCATTACAAGCAATAATTTAACTTAAAGATACAACTTGTAGATTCAGCCACCAGGGGGCTCTCAATCAATACTACCATAACAAAAGATGAAATCGAGGCTAGCAGGGAATCATGGGAGTTCTCTCTGCTACTCCATCCAGTGAAAACAAACTCTGCGTTGACGTAGTAAAAACGAACGGGAGAAAGAAACCTGAGGAAGAGAAAATGTTTACCGACGATGTATCTAAGTATAATTTACATGATGTTTTTATCACTGCAGCACATACAGCAACAGTACGGCAGTAACATCTGGTGTTTCCCTGGCAACGATACACATACTGTCTGTCATGGCGGCTGCCTCGGCAAGACACGTCCCATTACAACAATAAAATGACGGATTTCTCTGGCTTTGATTGCTGTTGGAAATATTTGAGATTATGTAATACTCAACAAAAAATATAATTTATATAACATGAGTTTAGTCCATTATTTATTAATTTAGATAATTTAATGTAAACATTGTCATATATTTCTACATATTGAATGTTTAAACACTTTTAACACTTAAACATTCTGAAGATTTTAAAAACAAGCACTGTGAAAATAAACAAGTATAGATATAAATAAATACAAATGATAATATGTTAAAATAAAATGGGTGTCAAACCAAGTTTTAATCGCAATATTTCAATAGTTAATTGGGATTAATCGCATGTTTGAAATTCCATTATTTTGCATTTTAAAAGAAGGATTGTAATTTTATTTTTATTTTGAATTGTTGTACTGTGTTAAGTTGAGAGTACTTAACTTGCTGTTTGAAATCAACCCTGCTATTATTTTGAAATAAAGAAAAAGCTTCAGGCAGATCGAAGGTTACAACATTAACTTAACCACAGAAAAAGGAACTTTTTGCGGATCAAACACTAAATAAAAACAGCTCAAATGATCAGTGACAAAGTGAAATGTGTGATGTCATAAAGTGGATATTATACTTCATCAGACTCATCAGCTGAGCTGTCTTTTATTTAAAGTGAAATGAGACATAGCAGCAGGCCATTCCATACCCGTTAATCATGTTTTTGTTTTGACAGTTCAATAAATCCATGTTTTTTTTCATTCCAAACTGTATTTCAGGTACTGTTGCTGCTCTCTGTGACACACTTGTGATTTTTCACACTTGAAATTCTGGTGAATTTCCTCCCACAAAAAGGACACATGAATGACTTCTCCCCCGTGTGGAGCGTCATGTGTTGCACATGCCCGTTTTGTACAAACCTTTTATCCCACACTGGGCTGCGGGTTTCTCTCCTTTGTGTGTTTTAACAACGTCTCACTCGTCCTGAAACGTCGGTTACAATCTGCACAGCTGTACGGCTTCTCCCCCGTGTGAACTCTCGTGTTGAGCCAGACCTCCCCTAAGAATGAAGCGTTTTGAGCAGACTGAGCAGCTGAATGTTTTCTCTCCAGTGTGGGTTCTTGTATGAGACTGTAGAGACTGGCTCTGAGCGAACACTTTTCCACACACTGAGCATCTGTATGGTTTCTCCCCCGTGTGAATCCTGATATGACACACAGCTTCCACTTTGTAGCCACATTTTCTCTCGCAAACTGAACATTGGTTTACTGCAACAACGGTTTACTGCTCTGCCTACAGTCTTTCAGCTCCAATGTTTTGCCACAGGCAGAACACCTGAGAGACTTCTTTTCCGAGTTGCATCCCCTATCAGCTGTGGACACGCTTATGTGTTGCTGTTGCTACATCCCTTCCATAATCTTGCTTCTTTGTCTCTACTTTTTGTTATTATTTGTTTGCTCTGGTGTGCACTCTGTCACCCCTTATTAGCCTGATTCAATTCACCTGGTCGCTCCTTATTTAAAGTCCTCACTCCTTACACCCCCTTGAATGAAGGTGTTTTTTTTCTCCTACTTCTAGCCCATATTCTATGGCCATACATTTAAATGAAAAAAATAAAATAAATAATAATAATAAATATTCCTGTAAGATGGAAATGTTATTTTTTAAATGTATTATTTCAAATAATTGTCTATAACTTCTACTATTATGTATGTTTTATTTCATGTGCGATAGTTCCTTGTTTTTTTTTTGTTCTCCGTGTTTTATTGCATCTCTTAATTTTGGAGAAAACTATCTTGCGCAGCAGAAATCATCCTATCTTGGCCCATAATGATAGTCAACCTTTAAGATTGAAACATCTGTAAATGATTGATTGTAAACATTTAAAACAAATCTCAAACAGACCTAATCAGCATTAGTCCTACAGTTTAGAGACAACTCACCTGTTCTGAGTAACCGGACTTCTGGCTTCAAGACAGCGTCGAGTAGTTTGCGTTGTCGCTTGTTCTCCCACTTTGAATGATCAAGTTTTTCTTCACACTCAGACATGGTTCTTTCAAACAGTCCTAGTATCTCTTCGGCGGCCGCAGCAAGTCGCTGATTCACCGCTACTCTCAAAATGTCCACTTTCGACATGTTTTAAACTGTCAAATAGACTCTTTCATCAAGCGTCACGTTCGCAGCCACCACCATTTACTTCCGTATTCTCACAGAAGTTGTATCGACCGAGTAGTGCTACCTTTCGATATGTCCTCCCAAGCGGTTGAGCGCATGCGTAGAATCCCAGGTAGTCATCACTCTGGTTAATAACCTTAATATTTACAGTCTATGTTAATAACGCAAACTTTCTCCTGGAATCTTTATTAAAGGTTTGATTCGAAAAAATATCAAAACGTGCTCCTCATGCTCTGACAATGCAAACTGAGTGAGTAGTGACGTAAACTAAAGTGATCCCGTACTAGGAGCATTACGGTAGCACTTTTCTTCAAAGCATCACAACTCGAGACAACACCGGCAGCGACTACACGTCAATGTAAAACTCTCAGAGCATATCATTTTCAGAAACGTGAACTAACTTAAACATAAATATCTGCAAGGATGCATACAATAATTGTTAACATAATGCTGGTGTTTTGTTTCCATTTGCATATTTTTTTTAAAATCAGACACTCCACACTGAAGTGTTTATGCACATATGATCTGTACCCCTGACCACAACATAACTGCAGAGAGGTGAGTGAAAGCAGCAGGCATCATGAGGACAATCCACAACCAATAAGTGCATTACTACTTATTAAACTGTTGTCTTTATCAGAGCCATGCCATGTTTCTAAATTGTAATTCTACACCAACTAAAGGAGAGAGTCCACTCTACCCTGTTTATACCATTTATAATGAGGGTTCTATGAGATAAACAAGTCCACACAGACAGCTTATATTGTAGCTCAAAACAAGAAATGACTTTCATATTAACTGTCATTTTCAGTGCAGTGCTGGGAGAACAAATAATTACATTTTCTTACATTTTTTCAAATGCATTTTTAATACATTCCAAATCAAATGTAACATTTGGGCTTTAGTTGTGATACGGGGTTGCAAACATTTAGGCTTCAGTAAAAACACAGGGTGAACAAACTATCAGGTGTCTGTTCTTAGTCCATGGTCTATTAAAACTTGACCCAAAAGGCTACGTCAGTCCAGTCACCGTTTGGGGCAAACTTTGAAAGACCACATGTTATGCCTTCAGAGGAAATTTAGGGTGAATTGTGACTGGAATGCTGCACTCTCTAGCTCATACAAGTTTCAATTAAGATTGTCTAGAGCTGTAATTTCGTTAGTTTCCCCAAAATTGTCATTAAACTTGAGGGATTGGGGCAAGAAAAAGAAGGCCTTGTGCAAAGGGTTGTACTGCTAAATACTGGTAATGCACAGTTCTTATTGGTGGAACATAAAACGAAGGAACTGAAAGAATCGTTTTTGCTGTATTTGTATCATGATGACAAGTGTTCAAATTGTTTTCATCTGTTATATATACTCGGCAGAAATGAACACACATTTATGTCTATTTCATTTTACTACATTATTGAAAGAATAAAGGCACTTTACCCGAGAGTGAATTCACTGTGCACAGTGTTACCCTCACGTACTTATATAATAATGCACACATTTTATATGTAGTGACTCGAAGCAATCCTCCTCATTAACTCTAATGACAGACGGGTAAAATAAACTGGATAGTATACTTGATCTTCTCACAGAATGATACACCTGATGCTGCTTCAGAAGAGAACAGTGAATACACAAGTCAATGTCACAAATCAAATGTCAATTTGTCAACTTTAACCATTTTTTTCTCATTGGCTCACTACATTTGTATATTAAACATGTCAGAACAGATTTGAGGGTGGCTGTGGCTTAGTTGGTAGAGTGGGTCATCTCACAACCAGACGGTCAGGGGTTTCGATCACCAGATCCTGCAGGAACATTTCCGATGTGTCTCTGGACAGGACACTTTAACCCTAAGTTGCTCGAGCTGCTTTGTTGGCGGCATGTGAATTATTAGTAAGTTCTGATGGTGACTTTACAGAGCAGCCTCTGCCATCCGTGTGTGTATGGTTTGGTGTGACCTGCGGTGTAAAAGCACTTTGAGTAGTCAGAAGACCAGAAAAGCGCTTTACAAGCTCAAGTCTATTTACCATTTCCAACTTCATCACATTTCCAAATGCTGAGGGGTGCCTTGTGAGGAAACCCCAGTCACTGTTACATCGACAGGAGTGGTAGTGAATATAGATTTATCCCAGAGACAACAGTCTCATCCTTTATCTCTAGGCAGGTTGGGTGGAAAGTGAAGACTGTATAGAAAAAGTGAAAGCAGTTACTGTGACACTTTTACAATACATTGATCCTGGATTTACAAAATGAACATTATGCTGTACTGAAGAGCACTTTAAACCAAAGTGTGAAACCATGAACTCACACATTTCAGAGTGAGAATCGGTCTCTTTATCCTTACAATTGGGCTTCTTTTTACCAGTGTCATCACCCCCTGCTGGTCATTCAAGGGACTTCTGAACGCACACCTTTAACAGAGTGCCTACATTGATTAGATCCAGCAGATGTCGCCCTTTAGATCCAGCATGAAACCAAAACAAACTGCTGTTTGATTGCATCTATGGTAGCTGACCAACTTTAAATCTCTCCTTTCAGTTTGAGGTTCAGTTTGAAGCACAAAGCAGAAAACGTTACTTGGCGCTGCTCGCACCTGTACACTTATGGCTTTTCAGACGTGTCAGCAAACTGAAGTTCCTTCCACAAACACCACAGCTGTACGGTTTCTCTCCGGTATGAACTCTTAGGTGTCTCGTCAGCGTTCCATTAACACTAAAACTTTTTTCACAAAACGGGCAGCTGAACGGTCTCTCTCCTGTGTGACTTCTCATGTGAACGACTAACGTCTTCCTCTGGCTGAAACATTTGTCACACATGGAGCAGCTGTACGGTCTCTCTCCTGTGTGGCTTCTTATGTGTATAACTAATGCCTTCCTCTGAGTGAAGCTTTTGTCACATGTGGCACAGTTGAATCTTTTCTCCCTGGTGTGACTTCTGCTGCTGGTCGGACTCTCTCTCTCTCTGCTGTCCACAGTTTGGCTTTGATAAAGCTGAGAAGACTGACTTTTCCCCCCATCATCTTCACACTCATCAGAGACAGACGTGAATGTGAACTTGGTGGTGGTATGATCCTCTTCTTCGTCTTGAAGCTGCTCCCCCTCCTGACTACTCCACAGTTCCTCTTCCTCTTCAATGTGTGACGGCTCTGGGTCTTCATGGTTCAGAGTGTCCTTCGCCTCGTGCTGTTCTTCTTTTATTTCAATCAGTTTTTGGAGAGGGGAAACTGAAACACAGATGAAAATGAAAAACAGATTAGCACAGCAGGGGTAACTATCTTTGCATAATAACTGTGCCTTTCAAAAATTGCGCTTGGATTTACTCAAAAAGAGTGTCTAAAGGAAAAGAAATTGTGTGTGATGTGGATCACTCAACACTATACCCACTCGAGAACAAAACATTGGCGCGTCCTTAAGTCTGACAGTGAACTATCCTATGTAATCAAGTACCCTCCTCTGTTTGTAAATGATGAAAGAACATTAAGGATCACTTGGTCTGAGCCACATTTCATTGCAAAGAGGAAACTACCGCTGTGGCATTTGTGCTCGATGGAATAGCACTTTTAAAACTCGTCACTTTTCTCACCCTCATACAGGTTAAAGATTTCTTATCAACATGTGCATTAACACATGTGATCGATATGATTCGCTGTCCCGGCAATCTCGTTCATGTTGGGAGAAGTAAAACAAAGTATCAGTGAGCACAAAAACACGAAATGCAGAAACGACCGGGATTACCCCGTTGCTGTGCACTTCAATGATGAGCACCATGACATCTCCTCACTGCGTTCCTGTGGGATCAAACAAGTCACTCTCCCACCCAAACAGCATGAGGCTTACTGGATTCATACTCTGCACACGCTGGCTCTAAATGATGAACGAGTTTTCATTGGTTTTTATGTGATTCCTGTGTGTTTAACATGTTGATGTATTTTTGTTTGACAGGTTTGTCTGACTCCAGTTCCAGACAGTCTTTCATACATATTGAATATGCATATTGATAATCGGCTTCATTTTTTAATAATCAAGCTTCATTTGTTGTGTCCAATTAGGCCTAAAGATTCAACATGTCTGTCGGTTGTGTGCATTTTGGTGACGGTTATATTTTGTGGGGACCTGTACGCGACTAAAGATGAAAAATTAGATTATTCTACCAACGTATTTTGAACTTTATATCTAGTGCAATGTTTGTGAGTTTGTGTTTGGAATTTAATTCACCTTTTGGGACCTTTAGTGTCCTCTGAACTACAAACTGCGAATTGTTATGTTATTTCCTCACAGGCTTTTGGTCATTGTGTGCTATCAACCAGGAAGTGGATGTTTATTTGTTAGTTTATGTGTTGAATTCAGAGCTGACATTCTCATGATGGTTGGTGCAGGCCTGTAGCCACTTCCTATTTAAGATGTCCTGCACATTTTAACAAAATGTTTGCCTGATGAAGGTGCAGTACCAAAAACATTGGCAATTAATGTTTGTTTGCAAGTTAGACAGTCTGCAAACATGCCTTCTTATTTGACGAGAGAATACACACTATCCCCTCTTTCATACTTATTTGTTGGGTAAAATAAACAAGGTCCACAGAAAGGCTCAGATCACAGCAGTTTGGGGGTAATTGTCCTTGGACCTGGTTTTGTTTCTGAACGTGTTTTCAAATAATGGTAAACATATAAGGCCTAAGAGTAAGCTTAACATTCAAACAGCTGTTGCTCAATCTTTCCTCTAGCTTTTGCTCAATAGACGACATGCTTTCATTCTCTCTGTGATCATAGACCTTTGAAACCTTTTGTTTTCTCACTGCAAAGCATCGTCTGATAATTTATAAATACCGCACAGCCCCCGTGAGGGCATAAATAAATCATGAGCATCATAATTAATTAAATTAGATTATGTCATGTTCAAATTAAACTGAGGTAAGGTTATTGTTGCAAATTTGTATCTTCTTCTCACAAGGTGGGCTACTTCTAATCACACAAAAAATGTAATACAAAATACTCTTGCTGAAAATGTATAAATATAAATAATTAATTCGTTTTTTAATTCCGACAATGGCCCATTAAATAGCTGTTTTAGAAATGGCAATTAGCAATTCGTTTCTATCTATTTAAACGTTTAAACTTGATGATTTGTTCTATTATTTTGAAATTCTACATAGTAGGCTACACTTCCGACTCTTCTCCGCGAAGCTCCAGCATGCTAAAAGCCTTTCAAAAAACACTGTATCCGCTTCACATGAAGGTTATTATAACACATCACCTCTCCGATGTTTTCACACCGTTCTTATCGTAAGAACACAAACCTGCTTTGTCGCTGTTTTCACGCTGAGAAACGTCCTTCAGCAGCCTGTGTTGACGGAGTATTTCTTCTTCGTAGTTTAATATGGTACTTTCCAAAAGCTCGAAGATCTCCTCCACAGCCGCAGTCAGTCGCTGGTTTACAAACGCTCTCAGAGTTTGAATTGTGGACATTTTCGCATAATAATCCCGCAGAGAGCGATCAATGTTTGTGTGCCTCTGACTTCTTCCTCGTGCTTCCGCTGTTCCGCTTGATGCCGGGAGCCCCTCCCTCCCTCTTTCACGCCTTCCTTTCCTCACCTCTCAAACATGGCCTATAACATAACGGGCGATCACAAATGTACCTCATGCATCTTTTCCTAACCCATTTTCCTTTGCCTCAATGAAAAGTGAGAGAACATGGGATTTTAAAATCTAATTCAAAGGAACAACTTTTGATTATTCTGGTCAATTTTATTTAATATTGTTAATATCTGTACAATTTTCTGCACTCTTTCCGTCTTAATATCAGCCTCAGTCTTGTGTGAAAAAATTCAAAATTACAGACAAACAAAACTCCTCACCAACACATCCATAATTCCATCTCTGAAAGCAACAGGTCAGCAGCAGGTCCCCATTCCTATAGCCATCATCAGAAATGTTTGTTATGCCTTTAATTTGCCCCATTGAACATTGTGAGACCCTTTTTAAGTGTCAGAAAACCATGGAGATTGTATCTTGTATACATGGATCCATTTTTTCCTTTTAGGCTATACTACAACTAAACATGTTTTGATGTATTTTCCTGAATAAAGTAAAACCTCAACGGACATGTCCCTTCAGACAGTTATGGTAAAATAGCATACAAACTATACTTTCAACACTTTTCCATTATTTGGTGGAAAGATAAAATGACAGCAGTCTTTGGTTAGACAGGCACAGAAAATAGTGTCTGATCCTACCCACATTCTTCACTCTTGAGTTTCAGCTTTTAACCTCTGAGAGAAGATTCAGGGTCCCTCAGACCCGGCTGAACCTTTACAAACATTCACTTGTGCCAATGTCCATTGATATTCTGAATAACAGGTAATGTAAGATGTGCCCAGGGTCTGTGCAATATGCCAATATGTTACTGCTGCAAGAAGGTGTTTGTATGTATATGTAGATTTGTCATATGAAATGCTCTGTTTTGTATGATCTCTATTTATTTTATTATTTTTAATCGAACTGCAGGACAGAGTCCAAGAAAATTTTCCCTTTGGGGGCAATAAAGTATATCTTGATTTTGAATACATTTTAAAGAGAGCTGGTAATGTTTTCTAGCTTGACAAGTGACTGTTCCTGAACATAATACAATATTTCTAGCCTGATTTTATTTGATTTTTTTAATTGTAGATGAAAAAGCATGGTGGATCCTGGATCGTTCCTTGCTGATGGTGCACCTGCAGGATTTTCATGAAGGACTTGAGGTCAAGTTGTTCAACTGGTCCTTCACTATCACTGACAATAACGTTTTAAGTAAGTTTTCTGGCCAAATCCCTCAGCTGACTACAAACAAGATCTCTTGAGGAGACTAAATAATTTCTCTGCAGGAAAGCTACAATGGCCACCAGGACTATGTTTATAGAGAAACGAAGAAGGCTAGTTAAGAAATACCCAGCACCAAGAAACAAAATCTGACAGCTTCTAGAAGTTGTAAGTTAATCACTGGAGAAGGGCAAACGATACCGAAGCTTGTGTGAGTTTAAAGAGTGGCTGTTTGTCAGACCTGTCAAATGACGACTGTCATGTGACTGATGATGTTCAAAGGTTTATACATCCCACCATATCCAGGTTGAGGCAGGCCACCAGCACAGAGCCTGTCAATACTGGATATCCTCCTGACTGTAAGTATTCTTAGAAAATAATAGTTTATCGGATTATTTTATAATCCAGAAACGACATAAACATGGGTTATATGTTATACTGTTAAAAACATTGTCTCCCTTATACTGTCCAGCAAACAAAGGTTAGAGAAAGCCTTGTTGGACATCAATCTTGAGGATGGCCAGCCATATTCAGTGGTAGAAGATGAAGGCTTTCTAAAGTCAGTCAGCCTCTTTGATTCTACCTACACTATCCCAGGAAGAAAGGCCCGGAAAAGCAGTGGTTGATTTGAGATATGAGAAAAACAAAGAGGAGGCCATTACTGAAGTGAAACAGGCCTCTGCAGTAAATCTTACTGCTGATATGTGGACATCCATAAACATGTATGACTATTTAGCAGTGATTGACAGGTCACTACATGACTGAGGAAATGAGGCCCACCACTGTCGTCTTGGAGGTGCAAAAGTTTGTCTTGATCCACATATCAGCTCAATTGACCGATGCTACCAGAAACATTATGGCTGAGTGGGGCATTGCTGACAATGTAACAGGCATGGTCAAGCCCTTATTATTGTGGCTAATGTCAACCAAGTCACACAAAGCTACTCTTTTACTCGTGTTTTGAATTTGGTTGTAAGACAATTTAGCCCAAAACCCTGAGATGGAAAACCTCCGCACACAAGCCCGAATAGTTTTGGTCACTTTAACTCAAACACCACCGCTAAGAAGAATCGATGTGCCATGCAGTCCCAGTAGGGGATGACACAAATTAAACCAATAAGAGTTGAAATTTGGGCAGATTTGAATATCCACAGTCAACAGGATAAAACACAGAGGTCATTGGTAAGATCCGTTCTTCTTTAGGCAATTGAAGGAACCACACCTGGGAATAAAGCAAGCAACCCTTTCTCTGCACCAAATGTACTCTGCATAACAAGAAAAACCTAGCAGAAACTATTGTGGTTAATTCGCCCACAAGCATCATCGTATAAGAAGGCCTGCCGTACAGATGCAGCTGTCTGGTAGCACTTGTGGACTCTTCACACATTGCATTTGCATCAGCTTTGTGTGAGGGAGTCAGGCCAGAGAACAGTTTAAGGAGATAAAATATGAGACGAAGGCTTTTCAGAGCTTTGCACGACAAACAGGCTTCAATCTTCTCACACAAAAACATACAGGCAAAGCCTGAAAGGGCAACAGTTCAGATAGATATTCACTTTCTCTGCAGGACCTCATACAACAATGCAGTGCACCAGTGGGGACCCTCTGGGTTACGTAATATGATCTGTATCCCCTCCTTTTCAAGCTATCATCAAGATATCTCTGCCTACCAGCATCATCAGATGCAGGATAAAAGTTTAGAATTCTTGGTAAATGATTTGATATTGTTAGGTTAACATTTTAGTCAGAGATGTAAATATTTAAAGGTCAAACCCCACATCAACTGATGGAAGAATGAACCCTAGCTTTTTTCGAAACTTCTTCAATATATGATGGAAAGAAAACCCACATAAACTTACTGCCTTACTGGATTAGTATTTGTAACTAGATTGAGACTCTCAAACATTTGTTCTTTTTGTTTGTATACGTTTTGTTTATTGTGTTTCATACTGTATCAGCGCCAATGCTAATGTGTAATGTAATTGTGAAAAATGTGCCTATATGTTTGTATCTGAATATTGTACAATAAAAGGCTGGCAAAATTGTCAGCCAGAAAAGGAACAGACTGAAGCCCAGCACTGTGGAGAAAATTATTTTTCTTTTTAAATTTCCTTTTATTCGTGAGATAACAAAACAAGTGAAACAGGTACACAAAGGACAAACGGGGAGAACAATTTTACAGGCAAATAGATACAACCCAACAACCTGACAGACCTGTCATGAGAAGACTCATAATGAAAGCAAAAGAAAAGTAACATTACAAGTCTATAAACACAAATACATAGCCTAAAGACACATAACAAGTTGTTTTTTTTAAATAAAAAACTTCTATTTTTAAAATAAAAATCTTTAAAAAAAAGAGCATTAATCACTGCCACTATCATGATGCCCCTGTTCATAAGCACTTTCTTTCCACGTCACAATTGTTACCAAATGTTTGATGAATCAAACCGCCACCTCTATGAAATATTGCCCAAGAATACTAGCCATAAAAATGTCCAATTTTGTGGCCATGAAGTATCCACACAGACTATATGCAAAAACTGAATCAACCATATCATAAGTATGAGCGATTGAGGCTTATCTTACGGGCCAGCACTTTATCATATTACAGTACAAAAACTGATTAAAGTATTTATTGAATAAATCTGTAAATGAACACGCAGCTTTGACTGATTATTGCAGATTTTTTGAGATTGAAACAGTGAAGTGTTGTGCCAGTGCTCAAGTCCCACATTTAAACGTTTGCTTTAATTTTATTCTGCCACAAGAGGTCACTGTTCTTTCTGATAATGAAACCCCAAAGCTTGAAACCTTTTTCAACAAATAGAAAGAAAGCCCCAGAGTGTCATGAGGCTTCATCCGCCCAGCTCTTCCAATCACAGAACTATATTTCAGTGGTGCTTATGCAGAATACAGGGGCCTGTACTACAAAGAAAGATTAACATACCCATGTTATCTTTGGGTTATCTGGCTTCACTAACCCTAACAACCGCGATAAGCGATCACACAACGTTGGTTATCAACTTGGTAAATCTACACAGGTTTTCCCAATCCATCTATGAATGCGTGCACATAAAAGTGGCTGTATGGTTAAGACAAGAGCGGCGTATATCACTGTGGAGGAGCAAACGATTATACTAGAAAAATACAAGGAGTTGAAATACAGAATCCAGGCAAAAAGAAACACAACTGCAGCTGCCAAATGCGTGAAGGAGTGCTGGCAAAGTATCGCAGATTGCTTGAATGTTAATAAGTTTATAAAATCAATGCCCATTAAGGCACAAGTAGATCTGACTTTAATTACATTTGATGTATTATTGTTGCGTGTATGACCATTTTAGCTTTATTCTTTCAGATGCAACCCCAGCGCACATGGGAACACATGGGGTGTCACATCAGACAGCAGCTCCAGGCAAGATCTGTTCTGGGTATGTGTCCATGTTAAAATATGTTGCTAATAAAACACAATTCTGTAATATAGTAATGATTTTGGGAAAAAGAAACATGGATTTACTTTCTCTGCAGTTGATGGGGAGACACTGCTGTTTCTGCCACCACCCATCTTCACACTGTGTCATCCAGAGGTAAGGTAGTGAAGCAATCTTTCGTATACACTGGTATCAGTCATCTATAGTTGCTAATCATTGACTTAACGGACCATTTACATGTCTTGTTTTCTCAGGTGGAGGCCCAAGATGATGAAAAGGTGTCTGATTGCTCGTTGAGTGGACTGGAGGTAATTCATTCCTAATGTTATGCAGTTTTTTATTTCACTATTTTAACACAGATGGTGAGAGTGTGGATACTTGGCTGTACTTAATTGATCTTTAATTACTGTTATTATTATTATGTTATTATGGTGGTCTGCACATTGGGAAAATAACAGTTTCAAGTGCTTTCTATCCTAGAATAATCAATTGCTTCCATTTGCTATGATGTAAATTTAGCAGAAAGAAGGAAACCTTCCTCCCCAAGAGCCTGTGGCTTCAACCTTTAGGCCATCACGATCACAAGTGGTAAAGAATTAACCTTAATTTAAACAGGGTATCAATTAAATTGCTTCAAGGGAGTCTTGCAAAGAGACAATGCTTAAATGTTAAATGTAATGATAAGTGTATGTGTTTACAATGGTAAATGGACTTGAACTTGTCTTCCGACTACTACTTCACACACTGATAGTAGTGGTCGCTATGTAGTATCACCCATCAGAAGTAACTAATCCCATTCATACATCGCCACCAAAAGCAATTCAGTGTTAAGTGTCTTGACCAAGGACACATCAGAAATGTTGCCCAGCTGGGGATCAAACCCTCACCCTTCCTGTTGAGAGGCGACAACTCTACCAACTGAGCCACAGCCGCCCTGTGACAATGGATATAGTTGCCCTGTAGGTGGCAGTATAACATGAGTAAGAGAGTGTGATGGGGATGAGATAGTAAAAATAAAGCAGCTAGTCCAGCTAGTGTAAGAGACCCAAACATTTTTTATTAATACAAATAAGAACATTACATGGTACCAGAAGTGGGGTAAAATTTGGTTGAGAGGAAGAAGCAACACAAAATGGATGCATTGAAACCGCCAAGTCCGTTAAAACTGACTGGAAATGTGGATGCTAACTGGAGGACTTTCAAGTAGCAGTTCATGCTGTATATTGCGGCTGTCGGAGTGGAAAACAAGACAGATGCTAGGAAAATAGCCATACTGCTCACCGTTGCTGGCACAGAAGCAATAGAAGTCTTCAATACCTTTGTGTTTGCTCAACCAGATGACAAAGAAACGTTCGATGTGATCATAAAAATGTTTGACGATCACTCCCTCTGGAAAAAGAATGAAAAGTATGAAAGGTACGTTTTTCAGTCACAAGTACAGTAACAGGGAGAATTTTCTAACTGATCTCAAGCTAAAGGCACAGTCATGTAATTTCAATGATATCAGAGACTCTATGATAAGGGATCAAATTGTGTTTGGGATAAATGATAAGAGGATCAGAGAAAAATGACTCGAGAAATGTAACTCAAGCTGGATGGTGCCATTAAAATATGCCAGGCCAGCGAGCTAGCAAGCCAGCACGTGCTGATTTTTGATGAGTCTGCACACACAGCAGTGTGCAAAGATAGCTAGGCTATTAATACTTCACTGTCAGTAAAAGGAAAAACAAAGTGAAAGTTTAAGGATAAAATGTGGTGAAAAACAATGTGCTTCTCCAAAGACAGGAAGAAAGGACATAAAGTGCACCCTGTGGACAAAACAGATGACAGTGATGATTTGAGTGAAACCTTCTTCATAAAGACAGTGTCACATGATGAACATGACAGCTCCCAAGACTTTTCAGTCTTGGGAGTCTTGTGCTCACTCCAAAACACAACCGTCTTGGTGATGGTCGCCTTCAGCGCCTTCTCCTGATGTGCTTCAACAGATACAGTTGCAGGAAAAAGTATGTGAACCATTTGGAATTTCCTAGTTTTCTGATTAAATTGGTCATAAAATGTGTTCTGATCTTCATCTAAGTCTCAACAATAGACAAACACAGTCTGCTTAAACTAATACCACACAAACAATTATATGTTTTCATGTTTTTATTGAACACAACATTCACATTCACAGTGCAGGGTGGAAAAAGTATGTGAACCCCTAGGGTAATGACTTCTCCAAGAGCTAATTGGAGTCAGGAGTCAGCCAACCTGGAGTCCAATCAATGAGACAAGATTGGAGGTGTTGGTTAAAGCTGCCCTTCTCTATAAAAAACACACTCCAGTTTTGATTAAGAATTGTTGACTTGCATTAAGCTGGAAAGGGTTACAAAAGTATTTCTAAAAGCCTTGATGTTCATCAGTCCACTGTAAGACAAGTTGTATATAAATGGATAAAGTTCAGCACTGTTGCTACTCTCCCTAGAAATCCTGTATAGATGGCTGCAAGAGTACAACAAAGAATGCTCAATGAGGTGAAGAAGAATCCTAGATTTACAGCTAAAGACTTGCATAAATCTCTGGCACATGCTAACATCTCTGTTGACAAATCTACAATACGTAAAACACTAAACAAGAATGGAGTTCATGGGAGGACACCACAGAGAAAGCCACTGCTGTCCAAAAAAAAACATTGCTGCACGTTTGAAGTTTGCAAAAGAGCATCTGGATGTTCCACAGCCCTACTGGCAAGACATCCTGTGGACAGATGAAACCAACGTCAAGTTGTTTGGAAGGAATACTCAACACTATGTGTGGAGAAAAAAAGGCACAGCACACCAACATCAAAACCTCATCCCAACTGTGAAGTATGGTGGAGGGGGCATCATGGTTTGGGGCTGCTTTGCTGCATCAGGGCCTGGACAGATTGCTATCATCGACGGAAAGATTTATTCCCAAGTTTATCAAGACATTTTGCAGGAAAACGTAAGGCCATCTGTTCACCAATTGAAGCTCAACAGAAGATGGGTGATGCAACATGAGAACTATCCAAAGCACAGAAGTAAATCAACAACAGAATGGCTTCAACAGAAGAAAATACGCCTTCTGGAGTGGCAGTAACAGGTCTTCTGTTTAGACTTAATCTGACTGAAACGATTGAACTGTGTTTCCTATGAGGGCCAGTAGGCCTAAGCACTTTAATTTCATTTGAAGCACTTCAGTTCCATTTTTTGTCACCTTGAAATGTGGCTGGGTAACCCCATACAGGTAATAGTCTAGCTGTAAGTGAAAAGGTTACTTTGTTTGGCCTGTGTTTTCTTTTTTTTACTCAAGCCGGTTTTATTGTAGGCTAAGTTTAGCCATATGTTGATTTTTGTGAAATTACTTAAATGACTGAGCCATATCCCTTGAGGCCAAGGACTAATCTTTTTGGTTTTTGATGAAGCATAAACTATGTTTCACTATGCTGTGAATTTGAATTAAAGAGAATAAAGGGAAATAAATGTAAAAAGGATCTTGTCATGTCTTTAGGTGTTAGGTTACAATATGTAGGCTCTAGCAGTATTGATTTTAATAGGAATAGGCCTAAAGTTACAGTATTTCTATCACAATTTACCAGACTTTGACCTTTTGTCTGTTCTTGCTATGATTGTTCCTTTTATTGCGCCATGAGCCATCACTGCGGCTATTATATTCTACTGTTGTTAACCTTAAGCCGAGCTCAGTCATTATGCTATACCGCATCACCTCCCACTGGATGTGTAATGATGAGCTGCATTGAGCGCAATAAGATACATTTAGAACGACAAATCCATATTTCCAGTAATTTTGGTGAAAGTAACTTAAAAGTAATGCAATAGCTGTGTAATGCCTTACAATTCAAAGACAGTAATATTATAATGTAACAAATTACTTTGAAATGACAGTAACAAGTAATACATAATGCATTAGGTTTTTTAAGTAACTCGCCCAACACTGGTTACCACATGTAAACTCAGAGAGTAAGAGAGTGCGTAAAAATAAAGCAGCTAGTCCAGCTAGCGTGAAGATACAAACACAGTGTTTTAATTAATACAAATAAGAACATTACATTAAAGCAACTGTATTGTCTGTTTCAGGTTGGAGCAGACAATATGAGAGCTCTATACTAGAGGACCTTGGAGCTGGATATACAAGCTAAACTTCTTGACATCGAAATAAAATAAATCCTAATCAAAAAGGGGAAACTGGAGGTGGAGAAATTGGAATACCAAAAGAAGGTCATTCAGCAACTTAATTTATTACCAGGCATGGGGAAACAATTTAACTAAAATGTAATTTTTTTTTTGGAACTTGAGAACAAAAGGTGATTGTAAAATAACTGACAGAAAAAAAGCCTGTTCTTGTGTGTAATGTGTAATGGCCCCTCTGACTGCCCTGGCAGTAGGGTGGTCCAGGGTGATGGGATCCACCACATCAGGGGGTGGTGGGTTCACGGGAGGGGTCCTCTCCCTCCTTGCTGTGGTTGCATTGTGAAGCACCACACAAAAAAAATAAAAAAATAATTAATTAATTAATTAATTAATCAAAAAGACCAAAAGGCAAAAAAAGTATGCTTTCTCTCAATTCAGAGTCCAACAAAAAAGTCCCTCAAAAGTCCAACTTAAAATTTAGCAAAACAGGAATAAAACAAAGGCGAAGCTTCTCGAAAAAAACATACAAGAACACGGAAATCAGACAGGAACCCACACAGGAAGGTAACACGAGGAATCCACAAAGGAACACAGGGTTTGTAGATGTAAGACCACGAAGTAGATGAATGAACTGACACTAAGTGGGAAGGTACTCTGAAACTAAATAGACACTGGGGTAATCAGACACAGGGGAGACTAACTCATTGTCATTTTTTATCTTTAATAATCATTAATTTACATGCATTCAGATTCACCAAGCAGATGGAAATATGCAACATGAAGATTTGCCAAAGGCCACAACATATTACAATATCAGCACAAGTCATTGATAGCAAAATCTGTTTTGTACAACATAGCCGAATGTTCATTATATGAAATCTTTAACAGGTTACTGCATCAGGGTTTACTTGTTTTGAATTATTAAAGCAAATGCTACAGGATTTGTCTGCCTACAGACTAAAATGTGATCATTTGGATAGAGATGTGTAAGTGTATAATCAGTTATCAGATATCATTTTTTCACAGACGCAGACATTTGCATAAGAACACCCTTCATCGTTCCACTCTCCAACTTGACTCCTCTGCATCAGTTCTGCACAATCCTGGTTCCCGCTGTAGCTGTTGGGCTGCCCAGCCTCCCAGTATCTGATGTGCAACATATCAGAGAAAAAAAAATGTGTATCCTTTCTCATGTTAGACATGTTATTCCCAGCCTAAAGGGTGACTGGGAGGATTGATACCTAGTTTCTTTTTTTTGTTATAGTGATGTTAATTAATTAATTAATACGTGATGAACCACATAATTAACCTTTTCATGCATGAATTATAAAATCAAGTAACCAGATTTTTTAATATGATTTCTTTTACTTCTTAGGACATGCAAAGTGAAATTATTTTTAAACTATTTTTAATATTTATAATTCTGAAGAAGTTACAGAAATCTGATTGTTTTTCTTTCAAGAACACATTTTCAGTTTTCACGTCCATTGGGGTGGAGAAATTCAGTTAAATTTAAGTTTTGAAGGATGACCATCTTTGAGTTTTGGAGTTTTTCCTTTTAAAACAGAAAAAAAAAAACATGCTTGATGAGCTCAAACCTGCACAGTTTTTGCCTGGAGGCTGCATGAACAGCACAACAGCATACAATTAATAGGAGAAAAAAACCTGATTAACCAAGATGGCCATCAGGTTAAGTTAGAATTGGAGATTGAAGCATCAAAAGACTTTTTAAAAATATTTTTCTGTTTTGATCCACTTGGAGCCACTGGGGCAACGACTCGAACCAACTCTGGCAGCCATCGCTGTGCATAAACACCTTCAAAGCTACGATTATTAGTGTGCCTTCTATACCCGGCTGACAACAGCAGCCTCTGGCTAGTGGAAAATGCTGGTTGTCCCAAAAGAGATCCTTCGGTACCTTAAGCTAGACCACCTGGGGAGAAGTTCGAGAAGACATCACAAAGTAAGGATGTTTGTTGTGATCGGGTGTTGAAATAGATTGGTCTTGTCTCATTTAGAATCCGAGTCCAAATTTAATCCCAAAATTCATTAATCACATTTTCTCCTTTAATCGTTTGCTGGTTAAGTCATTCAAAATAGTACCACGTCTTATCTCGTTACTAAATCATATATAAATACACCATACTCGTTAAACTGGAATACTAAATACAACATTCCAATGTGTTATGATAATGCATTAGGACGATTCACTTCAGTGTCTTTAGCGGTAGGCGTGGTTGGTAAGAGGAGAAGCAGGGTCAGTACTGATGACACACCTGAGGGGGGTGTGGTGGCTCTGTCTCTGTAACCTTCATTAGCAGCACCTGCGGAGGAGCCGGCGGAAATTGGTTTTGAGTCGAAGAGACGCCACGAGGAAGACTCGAGGACGCAGACACCTGAGAGACTGAATCTGAAGTAACGTTTGTTTTTGTTTCAACACTTCACAGGTTCTTTTTGCACATGAACTAAACTGATATGAAAGAGACGGCTGGCGGAGGAGATTGTACCCAAGTGACTCCGTGGATTGGGCTGTCCGAGTGAGCTGGTCGCGGCATGTACAAGGATCTTTGGAGTGAGCTCAGTACGCTCAGTACGCTTCTCGGAAATTTCAACATGAGCTGCTGGGCTTACCACAACAAGCCAGTGGGCTTAGATCAGTGATCTCACACTGACAATGATGCCGCACTGACAAATTTTTATCGAGGGGGGCTAGAACTAAGCTAATGCTACAGCTAACAGGAGGATGTAGGAGAAGCCGCGTTTCCGCTGACTTTGAATTTTTGCACATAGATGTGCCTAAACATGCACAGGACACTTGGAAAACACACTAAAGAGCATATAAAACCAGAAAAAGCATAATATGGGACCTTTAACTATTACTTTCCCTCTCGGATTGGAACTTTTGCTCAAACTTGTTGACTAAATCAAATCATTGGTTTATTTCATTTTCTTATTATCAATTATTTCAATTGTATTTCTTTCTTTCTTTTGTGATTAATTTTAATTTTAATTTTGATATCCATTTTAACCTTAAATTTTAATTCTGGTCTTGAATTTTTTTTACTTTAATTCTAAATTTTGATCTTGATGAGGAGGATAGTGGAGAGCTCGGAAAGGCTCTTCAGGAGGAAGAAAAAGGATGGGATTCAATCATGGATCATCCCACGGCAACTTCCAAAACAATTTGACAAGTCCGACCGCCTCCTTACAGAGGCCAAAGAAGAAATCAAGACTGACGAGTCAGCCTACACAATCGGCAACCACAGAAAAGGACAACGACCTGGATGTAACCGAAAACACACCTCCTGTGGTGTGATGAATCACTCGCTCAGCAAGAGACCTTCCTGTGTTCATTCACCAACCCTGCTGAGACTACTGAATTATGTCCATTGCTGATCCAAGGAATCAATCTTGACAGAACGTATGTTGAAGAAGTGTCCTTATCCCTGTGGGCTGATCAGATGGCCATTAGCCGAGAATTATTCAACTCTTTGATGGAAGATAACCCTGACATCATGTCCTCTCTGGAGGTCATCAATAGCCTCCTAGTAGACATCTCTGACCCACTCGCTGCACCTGCATTTGTGGTGCCTCAGAGCCTCAGGAGGTTGATGCTAACACATGCCATGACTCCCCAAGCGCAGGACACAGAGGCATCAAGGAAACCCTGAAATCTCTACAGGAAGACGCCTACTGGCCACTCATGCACAATGATGTGTCAGACTACATAAAGGGCTGTTTGGTCTGCTGTCAGTTCCAACCAGAAAACAGCTATGGCAGTTGCTGGGTGAGAAAATCTTCTTCCACTTCAGTTACCGGCCTCCACCGTTCTAACAGGTGGAACAGACCAGTCAAACTGTGGTGAACATACTAAAGAAGAATGTGTCATCCAAACACAAATATTGGGACATCAAACTCCCTCTTGTCTTGATGGCTGTCAGAGCAACACCTCAGGAGTCAACTGGACCCTCTCATTTTGAGCTGATGACAGGAAGGCAGCTAAAGCTGCCCCTGCATTTGCTCTATAAGCCAGGTGAGGCCAACGTCACAACAGCATACACCACGCACCAGTACTTGACAGACCTGAACAAACATGTGCGAGCCACTCATTAGGCCGGCCCCTACGCTATCATAGGGGTGGGCGATATGGCCTAAAAATAAAATCCCAGATTGCTTTCTACAGCACACCAATTTACGATTTTAATAGATTTTTCTCAAACAACCTACAAAACACTGAACAAGACATTTATCAAATATGATTAGTTTTAATTTCAACAATACTTTACCAAAAATTTTTTTTATATAAAATGTGCATCTTGAAAATAAAATTAAATAAATTATTAGCATGGCATGCTCAATAGAATATGAATTAATCAAACATTAGGTGCTTGTAAATAATGTCTTTCAATGTGTTTTTAGCCCCCCCTCTACACACACACACACACACACTAAGGGCAAAGTTGCACAAAGTTGCACGATTGTGCCACACAAAACCCCCATGGGACTGGTCGGGGACTCCAATGTCCCAGTTAGGTCATAAATCCAGGAAGTGTTAGAGAAAGTAGAGTTAGACTTAACCTATTAGATTAGTTCAGTGAAACACTCATTTTTTTTTCTTATTTTCTCTATTCATCTCTCCTTTCTCTTCTGGCATATTGTTTCAAATTGCAGACTGCCAGGACTCTGCCCACCAACCAGACGTTAACATAGTTTGGTTACCCACCATAGTAACATGTTTCAAAAGATGATCACCTACAAGTGTCTTCTAGAATAACAGGATTGGCTAAATATTCCTGAACCACATGGCATTAGTGAGTTACATCGGCCATTGATTTTGAAGACATTTTTGGTACACTAGCCAGTGTTTATGAAGGTAGATATGTTGCAAAATGTGAGAGCTTGTAGAATGTGATGTGGGAGCTTGTAGAATGTGATGTGAGAGCTTGTAGAATGTGATGTGAGAGCTTGTAGAATGTGATGTGAGAGCTTGTAGAATGTGATGTGAGAGCTTGTAGAATGTGATGTGAGAGCTTGTAGAATGTGATGTGGGAGCTTGTAGAATGTGATGTGAGAGCTTGTAGAATGTGATGTGGGAGCTTGTAGAATGTGATGTGAGAGCTTGTAGAATGTGATGTGAGAACTTTAAGGAAAAAAGTGAACTTCTATGTAGAAATCATAATTTACTCAGATTTTTATTACTGGTGCCTATTATCCTTTACAACCACAACTCTGTGGTTACAACTTCTCGAATCTGCCGCTACAACTGCACAAACTACTTTTCTCGCGTGAATCTGCGCTGCTTGAGTTTTGCAACACATTGTGCGAGACGTCTGTAGCAAAACAAATTTGGACTTGTAGAAATGCCCCCCTCCCCTCCCCGCTCTCCCGTGTGTGTGTGGGGAGGGGGGATTGACCAATCAGAAGGGAGGAATTGCAGGTACCGGGGTGAAGATAGTTTCATATTTGACATTCGCCTGTTTTCGCGTCGATTACCTTCAATAGCTCCGAGTCAAAGCCTCGATTTCTCACAGTTTGGGGATATGTTGGAGAGCAGATTAAGGCAGACGTTTCACAGTTTTGATAAACTTCAAATAACCAAATTGACGATGCAACAGACGATGCAACAAAGAACTGAATGTCTGTCGGACGCGCCGGTGACTATAGGCGGAGTTAGGGACCGTCGTAAAAGTGCAATACGGCTCATTTCAATATTCAATAACTTCTTTGTTTTTCAACATAGACATCTCAATCCACTGCTATTATAGAAGGTGACAGCCCTTAACATTTCAGATTAATGAATACAAAATAAAAATAAAAATAACTCTGCAAATCATCATTATCAATGACATATTGCCTTAAATAAGCACATTTCAAGGTTATAATCTCAATAGATTTCTAATTTATGATTTTATTGACATCAAATCACCTCTCATGTGTCCTGGACAACCTGTCAAAACTTTCACAGCTCATAGTTAGTATAGGAGGCCTTTAAAAAAAGCCTTAATACCATTATCAAGGGCCTGTCGCTTTAAACATGCAATTTTCAAGGTTTCAAAGTTTAAATGACAAACGGGCTCACACATGCCTTTGATCTTAATTAAAGTAATTGTGAGTAATTTTCAGTTAATTTCAGGATTGCATTAAAAGTAATAATAACTTCATATTTATACCAAGATGGCATAGATGAGTCATGATTTATTTGGAGAAAACAGGAATTTAATGGAATGATGATGATGAGGGTAATGGAATGATCCCTGTTTCTTAAGCATGTGTTCGGCTGTGAGATTGGCGGTGGTAGGAGGCTCTTACGACATAACTAATGACACTATGTCTTTGTAAATGAGCTACCCCTCAAATATCTTGAGTATGAATAGTGTGAATGGATGAATTTAGAGACCTCAGGTCATTGTTGAGCTTTTTACACCCCTCACATTTTAATACATGGTCACTTAAGATACAAATGGATCTGAGGTCTCTGCAGGTACGTAGTCTATCACCTCCTGATTGAGTATACCAGGTTTTTGAGTTGACTGGGAATTACTTTGTGGTGACCTTTCGATACATTTTTTCCAACTGCATTATTGAAGAAGCAACATTTATTTCAATTCTGTAGGATTTGAACTATTATTTGCTGTTTACATGGGATATAGGTATAAAAAGGATATTAATGGATATAAACGGTAAATGGAGTTTAAAAACTAAATAAAATTATGAACAATTAAGAAACCTCTGATTTTTTACTGCTGTTAAATGTTCTAGTCCAAACAGATTGAAGTTCCTACAGAAACAAACTTACGTAGTGGTGACGGGGGTCCCATCCACCCACTGCCAGGTCCCCTCTTTAAAGCTGTCAGTCAGACCAATCCAGGCCTCTACGCCTGATCCCAGCAACCCATTGACAAATAACTGTTAATAGAACACACACAAGAATGATCAACACTCAAATGTACATCCATCTATACCGCTTTTCAGGAGCAGATTCCAGCTGTCATCGGGCTAAAGGCGGAGTTACACTGAACTGGTTGCCAGCCAATCACAGGGCTGACAGACAACCAGCCACACTCACATTCACAACTACAAGCAATTTAGAGTCACCAATTAACCTAACGAGCATGCCTTTGGACTGTGGGAGGAACAGGGGAATGGAACCAGGAACCTCCTCACTCTAAAGCAACAGTGCTAAACACTTCACCACCATGCAGCCCACACTTAAATGTACAACAGTGTGAGCTGTCCTTAAAAAAAGGGTTCTAACACTGCAATGTTAAAGTCCATGAATCGAAAGAGATAGCTGATATACTTCTTAGAATAGTAAATCATTTTTCCACTTGTTATTTTTTTAAAGTAATGCAGTTTATGGCACAAAAACTCCTTATATTGATCATTATGTTTCACCTGATTGTGTTCTAACAAACTCAATTATTTCCTATTAGCATGTTTACTTCTTACCGCTAAACTGTATCTTTTCCATTCATTCTCAAATACAACGCACCTTTCTTTCTTTCTCACCTGTTCACTCCTGCTGTTTATGATGGCCAGATCAGCTCCGAGGTTGATGCAGTAGTCTCTGCTTGAAGCCCAGTTTCTCTTTTCAACTGTTACATAGTAACAGTTTCCACCAAACTTTGTCCAGCCTGTCTGACAAGACCCGTCTATGAATTACAAACACAGAGAGGTTCAGAATCTTACAGAAGGTGAATACTAAACTACTTTCAAGTAAATGAATTTAACTTTTATGAGTAACATCTTACATAGTTCGTTGATCTTCTTCTCTAACTGATCTTTAATTGTTGATAAACTGCTGTAATTGGTCTGTAGCTGCTCTTTCTCCCTCTGCAGAGTATTGTAACGGCCTTGCAATGCTTCTTTGTCTGTGGACAGTGATTGGTATCTGTTCTGAAGTAGGTTTTTAGTCTGGCTCAGATTTGTGTAGCTTGTTTGCAACTGGTCCTTGTCACTCTTCAGTGAATTGTAACTCCTCTGCAGCTCATCCCTGTTTATTCTCATCATGTTAAACGATGTCTGCAAGTCGTTCTTTTCTCTTTGCAGGTTGTCACGATTGTTCTGCATGTCATTGTAGTTTGTTTGTAGCTGATTCTTCTCTTGTGTTAGGGTGTTCAAACTTTGCTGCAGCCGGTCTTTCTCTTTCGTCAGGTCGCCTTGAACTTTTCCCATGCTCTTCTGTAGCTGATCATTAACAGTTGCAAGATTGCCATAATTGGTCTGTAGCTGCTCTTTCTCCCTCTGCAAAGTATTGTAACGGCCTTGCAATGCTTCTTTGTCTGTGGACAGTGATTGGTATCTGTTCTGAAGTAGGTTTTTAGTCTGGCTCAGATTTGTGTAGCTTGTTTGCAACTGGTCCTTGTCACTCTTCAGTGAATTGTAACTCCTCTGCAGCTTATCCCTGTTTATTCTCATCATGTTAAACGATGTCTGCAAGTCGTTCTTTTCTCTTTGCAGGTTGTCACGATTGTTCTGCATGTCATTGTAGTTTGTTTGTAGTTGATTCTTCTCTTGTGTTAGGGTGTTCAAACTTTGCTGCAGCCGGTCTTTCTCTTTCGTCAGGTCACCTTGAACTTTTCCCATGCTCTTCTGTAGCTGATCATTAACAGTTGCAAGATTGCCATAATTGGTCTGTAGCTGCTCTTTCTCCCTCTGCAAAGTATTGTAACGGCCTTGCAATGCTTCTTTGTCTGTGGACTGTGATTGGTATCTGTTCTGAAGTAGGTTTTTACTCCGGGTCAAGTTTGTGTAGCTTGTTTGCAACTGGTCCTTGTCATTCTTCAGTGAATTGTAACTCCTCTGCAACTCATCCTTTCCTCTCCGAAGTTCATCATAGTTCTTCTGCATGTCATCATAGATTGTCTGCAACTGGTCTTTTTCTTTTGTCAAGTTACTCAATGTGGCCTCGAATTGTTTTCTCTCTGCAGCTGAAGCATTAGAGGTGCCCTGAAGCTGATCTGCTCCAGTGCTGTAACCAGCCTGCATCAGGGCTGCTGACATGTTATGGTTGAATATGTGACCTGTGAAATGAAAATAAAAAATCTCACATTTTGAAGATTATTGGCATTGTTTTGAAAAATGCCTTTTACCTCTCGTATGCATGTTTTTTTAAGTTGACCTATTATGCGAATCCCCATTTAAAACACCATAGTGTTACAATTCTGGATGCCCACACTAAACGTGGGCATAGTTTGAGATCATGAGGTAAACATATGTTTGAGTTATCCCAGGATGAGCCTGCAGAGTGCGTTAAACAACTTGTTCTGCAAATCATGCAAAAGTTTTTGTATATAAAACCAAGAAATTAATAAATAATTTAATTTAAAAAAATGTCATAAAAATAATAACTATATACAATGATTAAATACACAATAATTCCCATATAAAAAATAATTAAATTAAAACAAAAAAATACCCCCTGGACCAGGGAATATGTGAGACAGGCATCTCCCTGGTCCAGGGAATTACAAATTGTGTTCACCCAAAAGTTAAACATTTTTGAAAATTCATAAATAATGTCATTAAAAACAAGTTCATTAAAACACTGAAAAACTATATATAATGATTAATAAAACATGAATAACAACAATTTCATTGAAATAGACCCGAGATTGTACTTCGGAAGTGTGATCCAGGGTAGGGATGGGATAGGGCTAGATCACTATTGTGGGTGGGATCTTAACTAGGGCTAGGGTTGTACCAGGGTTAGGGTTAAGGGATGAAAACCACCAATTCTTGCCTGATTGTTGAATAACACTGCTGTCTATCCCCCCCATTTGTGGCTACGAGCTTTCCAACGGCACCACTTACGAGTCTGTAAGACACTGGGAAGTACTTCAAAAAGCTATTGAAACTTTTGACAGGAGTGCAGCATCACCGCAGCACTGGTGTCTAGCCCCCCCATTTGTGGCTACGGGCTTTCGCCGACACATCGACACAAACACTTGGTGTTTATGGGTTACCTTAAAATCCAGACGCAATTTTAATACTTATTTTTTCATCTTAAAAGTTGGCTGCGTCTTATACACCGGTGCGACCAATATACCAGTATAAAATATTGAAACACGCGCCGTCATTACAGCGGGTGCAGCAGCCACTAACTGCAACCTGACGTGATTAAAACCCATCCCCATTCATTGTGTATTGAAAGCTGAGTGCACGCTGTGCTGGGAAAGACGGCGACACAGACCAGGCTGCAAACATAAAGTCTTGGGCTGGCTGCGCGACTTTTATCACACATTTTCTTCCTCACGAGGTCATAATCATGCATGTACAGAAAACAGTGGTATATGTTTTCCGTAAATAAACCTTGTGGAGTTCTTTTGATTTAAAGAGTCCTATATTAAAGTTAAACAGTGACGAGAGGAGTGAGTCAGGCAGCGCGACTCGCAAGCTAGGAGTCTGTGCCACTGCCTCATAACTTTCCCTGCAGGCTGAGAGCTCAACTATCGTATCGCTGAACACAATATAAATCGAAACGCAGGAAGACAGTTTAAACTTTTTTTTTTCTCTCAGAGACCTTCAAAACAGGGTGCGTCTTATATACTGGTGCGACTTATATTCCGGATTCTATGGTACTTTTAATGACCGCTGTCCTTTTCTATCGGAAAGTTATCCTTAAATGACTTATTTCCCTGATTTCCGACTCAATCCACTATCCTATCCCTACAATAAAGGCACAAAAAGCCCAAAAATAAATCTTTGAAAAAATAAAAATGTTTTTTATTTTTTTTACTTGACCTTTCAAGGGGGGCGGGGGGGAGGGGGCCGGGCCGCACCCCTAATATAACAGTAGGGGAAACACTGTACAAGGAGGAGAAACAGACACGAAGGGGCAAACAGGACGTCGGTTTAGTGACCGGTCGTCAGGTTAGGGCTAGGGTTAGGGTATCCCTAAAGGGATGATCGCTACCTATCAGACCGGTCTAATTTAGAGGTTTTCCTTGAATAACTTTTGATAGAAAGGTCGTAGCATGCTGATTGGCACTATATTGGTCATAGCCTTTCCAACGGTACCACTCACATGACTCTATGATGTCGGGAAGTGCTGGAATTTAATTAGTCGAAATTAGTTTTTGATATAGCACGAGAACCGAAGGTCATAGAGACTCAGGGACAACAGTCTTCACAGGCCTAGACTGCGCTGGGCTAGGAAGGGGAAAAGGGGGAGAGATGGGATAAGATGCAGGAAGAGGGATAGGGAGCAAGGTGGTGGGGGAAGGCAAGCTGTCCGTTGATATACTTTTTGACTTGTTTATTACTGTTGTTGTTGTGCTTCTTGTGTGGCCCTTGTGTGTGTAATTGCCTAGGGTGAACACACGAGGGTGCCAGTGAGCCAAAGCTCACCTTTGCGAAAGACTGATTTGCTGTTGTTTGTTTGTTTGTTTTTAAATTAAAGCATGGTCTGGGTGGACCGTGGAATCGAATTTCACTCTGGGATAGATAGAGTTGTCCAATTAAGTTAGTTTAAAGTCCACAAGTGCTTTGGAGGGAGCTGTTGAAAAATGTCTGCAGGAAGGCCTCATTCGCGAAGGCCAAATCTGCAAAGTAGAAATATTTTTAATTCCAATTCACCTTGCTGTAATGACTTGAAAATGCACACAGGGGGGTTTCGAGGGATGCCCGTGCTGTGGGATTATTTCAGAAATATCTGCAAATGGGAGAAAAAGGGAGAAATGACAGCGCAGCCATGCTTCATCTACATTTATTTGAATGGTAGAGGAGCTAGGGTTTTTATTCACCCAGAATGTGATTATGCACATTACATAGAAGGCTCAGTAGCAATTCCAGCCTTCTATCTGTGTTAGGGGCCGAGTTATAGCCGAAGGAGGAAAAATAGACAATTTGAAAATCCGCCAAAAAGGTTTTTTGCCAATAACTCTTGATAGGAAGTTTGTAGAGACTTGAAAACAAGCTCCAGCCCAACAAATTTGTGTAAGACCTTTACAACGGTACCACCTGCGAGTCTTGCGTTCCTGAGATATAGCCCCCGCAAGTCCCCCCATAGACATGAGTGCAGGCGCGATGTCAATTTGGAAAAGGACCAAAAAAGTGTTGAAAATTCAGATACACGGTATTTAAGGGATCGCCGACAATTCGGCCAAGTGGAATTTTTAATAAAATGCTTGCAAACCTGACATGTGACTATTTTGCAATTGTTTAATAACTGCGTTCCTGAGATAAAGGCCCCACAAGTCCCCCCGTGCAGGTGCGATGTCCATTTGGAAAATGCATTAAACATTTGTCATTTTATTACCACTTGACCAAAAGTGTTGAAAATTCAGATACACAGTATTTGAGGGATTGCAGACAATTCGGCCAAGTGGAATTTTTAATAAAATGCTTTCAAAGCTGACATATGACTATTTTGCAATTGTTTAATAACTGTAATGGATTTGATTGGACCGTCTTGCCCCTCCCTCCCATGTGACGTACCTGCTGCTGTATAACAATTTCTGTGACTCACCTTAGATCTCTCTCTCTCCCCCATTTCTCCAGCCAGACAACTTTGTGCGGCCTTAGAGAGACACGATGATTACGACGAAGACGACCCCCGCTCATTTTCCTTCATCATGGTATGAAATACTTTGGCCTTTACCTATTCTATTCATATTAGAATGTGTATTAGTTTACATTTTTTATGTTTTTCAATTGAATCGATGTGTTGAGGGCAAGTTGAAATTTTCAAAGTTTGGAGGGTGTAATTAAGGTGTTTCATTTGACATTCGGATGTTTTTGAGGGTTTTAAATGCCAAGTGTTCCTCTTAATGTCCGCCCTATTGCCATACACTTGCTCTCGTCTTTGTCATAATTTTCCCGCGTCTGGTTTAATTGACATTTAAAGTGCGTACTTTGTTCAACTGTGTGTTACACCTTTATTAACAACATTATTGAAACACGTGAAGACCATTTCTTCTTGAATTGAGAGGCAGGCAGGCAATAAGACCCCATCTAGTGTTAATTATGCGTATTCAAACTCTGCTCGCTATCTACCTCGCCGAGGTCCACGAGCTGGACAAGGCTGTAAGTGTATTGACTTTTCTCCACATTGAGTTATTCATTACTATTAATGAGCAATAAATGTATAGTAATCACAGACACTTTATTTTCTTGTTTGCAGGAGGTGGAGGAGCAAATGAGGGCGAGCGAAAGAGGCACAATATTGAAGCGCCTACGAGTTTTGAGGGCAACAGACCCTCAGCCGCCACTGGTGTCAAGACTAGACTTGGCAGTGGCCACCATCACCTCGTAGGAGGGTATGTAAACCTCACCAGATGCACATTTGTTTTGCAGAAGACGGTGAGGATGATGACGTAGCCCCCCCCTGCTTCCTTCTCTCCCTGCCCTCCGTCAGCGCCACCATCTCCACCCCACTTCCCGCAGCACACCCGGCAAACCCCAGTTCTTTCCCCTCCTCAACTCCACACTCCTCGGGCCTCAGAATCAGAGTGTCACCTTTGCGCCCACGCAGGCCACCCCCCTCAGCTACTGCCAGGGGTGTGTCCTCCTCAAGGCCTCGGTGGACGGCCTCCGGTGGGAGGACCCCACCCCGGCAGAGCCGTCCCCAGCTCCTGCTCCCCCGGCCCCCCCTGCCTTCCCTACTCACTCCCAGCCTGACTTTCCTATGCAAATTACCCCAACAATCACTCCTTTCACCCCCCAAGACCCCTCCCAAACTTTTTTTATTATTTAATATTTTAATCTAATCTTCCTGATGTTCTTTTATTTATACATTTTTCTGTTTTTTTGTAATATTTAATATTTTAACCTTTTTTTCTTGTTTGTTAGTGTTAGTTTAGAGTTTGAGAGTTCTGTTTGTTTAATGATGTTTACAGTGTGTAAGTGAATGAGTGAGTTAAGGTTTTTTTTAAATAAAAGTTTGTTTGTTCAAAATTTCATACATGACTCATGTCCAATGAATTGAAATACTGAATAATATATTTTATTGTGACAATTTTGGAGTGTAGTTGAAATAGCAAGATATATCTTTCATAGTATTATAACGCCAACTTTTAAACACTTGCAACTTTTTCAAATGCCAAGTTCAAAAGGCTGATCTCAATCAAAATGGATGCCAACAGTGTCAGATATGTGAATGCAGGTGGAGAAGATGGTGGGTATCAGGGATCTGTGTGTTGACCCTAACTTTTAGCCAGGAAAGATAGCAAGGTCCAAATTCAAACCCTTTTAGGCTTTTGTTGGTCATAAAGTGTAGAAAATGCTTCATCGTTGACCCAATTTTTTTGTTACATAACACAATTTATTAAAAATCAACTTTAATTAAAACCGAAATATTACTTAATACAGTATTAACAATTTTATAAACTTTTTATCGATTCAGTCTTTTCCTTTAAACATCCTCCTCAACATTTTGAGCAAAATGACCACCACCATAATATTGTGTGATAGGACAGATGGAGATGTTGCTGAGGGTGAGGATTGAGGGTAGGACCGCCGCCATTAGCTTCCGCGGCGGCCGTGCAAATAAGTCATTTGTACGGGAGAGGGTTATGCTAAAGTTGTAGGGGGGGAGGGGAACCTTTCTGGGGCCCAGCCACATGGAGTGCACCAGTCAGGTTAAATAAAACATTGTCCATTCTAATTTTAAGCAATGACAACCATTTTTTAACCAAAAGACTCACCATTTTTAACACAACAAAGATGCACATTTTATTTATTGTTGCCTGTCTCAAAATGTAATCCCAAGTACTATTGGAAAAATAAGACACTAAGAATTAAACTGGCTACATTACAAAAATCAAAATTACTAGGCGGTCTTGAGGCACCAAATCTTTACCACTACTTACTTGCAAACCAGCTTCAATACATTTACAATGGACCCACTCCAATTAATCAGATAACACATGGATAGACATAGAACAAGCAGTCACATTTCAGATTTATCATTTCAGCCAGACCATAAAACGCCATTCCTGTTTCAAAAATTTAACAATCTCAACAACTCTGACAGCCTGGTGGACATTCCACAAAATCACTTATTCCACCATTGCACCCTCTAATCTTCCACCCTTTTGGCACCATCCAGACTTTCTCAGAAATAATAAAACGATCAACTTCCACAAATGAAGAGAAAAAGGCAATACCCATCTCAAACATATCTTCCACAATAATCAGCTGCTCTCAATCCCCCTTTTGGCCCAGCATTGGGAGCAATTAATTTCTAGAATATCTGCAAGTTGAATCATCTGTTCAAATAACACTTAAAACTACTCCAACCAACTTAGACCCTCCTCCATCAACCTTAGCTCCAATTAACATCACCTCCCACAAAAAAGCTTTTGTCAAGAATATACAAAATAATATCCCAGGCTGACAAAACCTTATCAATCCCAACAGAAAAATGGGTTATAGACCTCTCCATTGCTCTCAATGCCAACTTCTGTTTTATGACAAAAAATTCCAATTTACAACTCATACAATACAAAATATTCCACAGATCTCACCTCACTGGAAAACAAAAATGTTTAAAATGGGTTTCTCTTCTCAAATCTGCCCACACAACTGCACAGACAACTACATTCACGCCACATGTTTGTTTTCCCTATTAATTAATATATTTATTTCCCTGTTAAAAGCCATTACATAAATACACAGAATTTATTTTTTTCTTTTTCTTTACTATTTTATTTGTTACTAATGTTATTATAAATGATATAGAACTATTATATTACATTATTTCACCTATTTATTTATCTATATTTATTATTATTATTTTCAATCCCTGTTATCATCCATTCTCTAAAATACTCGGAATTTAAGTCGGCAGCCTTCTCAACATTCACAAACACAATCTAATTTATCCATTGGTCCACTTTCTATGATTTATGTTATAGTTATTTTTGTTATTACTACTAACCTTTTTCTTCTCATTTTTATTTGTATTTATTGTGTTCCTATCATTGTTATTGTTGCCACCATTCTCATTATTACTTAATATCAATCATGTTCTCACAAACCCACAAACAAATAAACAAACCCATTATTTATTCTACCAGCGGCCCCTGCTGAATCATCTACCTCTTTGAGATTAACTCCATTGACTGTAGCAACAAAATTATTATTTTGGGAGACTTTTGAAAAAAATTGGTCAGATAGGTCTTCTAGTGAAGATAAAACAGTTTTATCCCTTATCTGAACCTGACACAATTAATTAATGAGCCCACAAGAGTTACTCCTTCCTCTCGGTCTCGATTGGATTTTAGTTTCACATCCAGATAGAATCTAAAAAGCTGGTGTTTTGTCAGATTGCTTTAGTAACCACTATGTAGTGTATTGTGTGTGGATTATTTAAATATCTAAAGTTCCACCAAAATTGATTAATGTTAGACAGTTTAGGAAAATAGACCCAGAAATGTGTATTCATGATTTAGTTGCTATTAATTGGGATAGATTCCAACTGATACCTGATGTTCAAAATGATTGGGATTTTTTTCTATCTGAATTTACCAAAGTAATCGACAAACACGCTCCCTGGAAACGGTCAAAAGTGAAGGGCAGACACTTACCTTGGATCAACTCTTAAATTATATGTCTTTTTAGACAGAGGGATAAAGCATGGGAAAATTTTCACTAGACAAGGAATCACACTGATTGGGAATTGTTCAGGAAATTAAGAAATGTTAGCAAGACTCAAATCTGGAATACCAAGTCTAGTTATTATAAAGAATGTCTAAGAAATAATTTTCAAAGTCCAAAACAATTCTGGAGCAAAATAAAAAAATATTCTCCATACATCAGTCAATTGCAATGCTACTCAGCTAAGAGTTTGCTGATACGCATAGAATTTTGAATGACCCCGCACTTATTGCATGCGCTTTCAATCAGCACTTCTCACTTCACTTGTGAAAGTTCCTTTGACTTTCAAACAACAGCTCCTTTAGAAGTCCAATATGCCATTCTTGATTTGAAAGAGTGCAGTGATTTTGGACTTGATGGAATTGAAACCAAGTTCATCAAAATTGCATCTCATATACTAATTAATCCATTGGTTGATCTGTTTAATCTCTAATTATGTACTCTGGAAAACTTCACGTATTACTCCTCTTCTTAAGGGTGGTGACAAAATATTCATAATCAATTATCCTATTAACTTAACAATAATAATATCGTTTCTCATCATCAACTTAGTTTCAGATCTAATTATTCTACAACTACTGCTCTCTTAAAATTCACCAACAATGTTTTCTCAGCATCTGATAATGGTAAACTTGTGCAATATTTATTGATCTCACCAAAGCCTTTGATCTGGTCATCATTATCTTCTCTTGGATAAACTCCATAAGATTGTTCTGTCTCGTCATGCTTTGCGGTGGTTTAACACATATTTTCACAACAGAAAGCAATGTGTGGTTTTCAGAGGGTGTATGTGCTCACCCAACAGATAGGTGTGCATCAGGGCTCAACTTTAGGACCACTTTTCTTTTCTATTTTTATTAGTGATCTTTCTCTCAGTCTTTCTGATTGTTCTATGCAATTTTATGCAGATGATACTACTAAATACACTCTCTTGTGTTGTTTTGTAAGTGTACTGTCCCTTGTCTTGCAATACATCAAAGAAATGAAAAAAATGTAATCCCCTTTCTTAAAATTGTATGAGCCTGAGCCTTTTTTTTGTTTTTGCATTGTTCATTTAATTTATATTTAATGTTAGGCCAGTAATGTCCGACTTTGGAGCTGCACAACAGTCTGTATGTAAGAAAAGAAAGAGGAGGCTAATTTGACCCCAACAACAACTTGACAACAATCTTTTTTTTCAGTCAGCTCCAAATGCTGATTGGAGGTAGCCTCAGAAGGCATATGGTTGCCAGGAGGCTATAGCGCTTATGATCCAACACAAATGTTTTGGTATTATTAAATTATAAACGCAGAGTGCCCAGCCAGATCTTTGGGCTGGCCTAGGCAGCTCTGCAGCGTTCTGCCCCAAAAGGCTTCCAGAGAGCTAGCCAATCACAAGAAAGTGGGGAGGTGGACCTTAAGGAGACGACAATTTAAATAACAGTTTCAGGCAGTCTGAAATGAGGGATTTTACTCTCGCCGGTATAATATTGTTTTTTTTTAGATGCACATCATGCAAAGCTGATCTACAGATTTACATGACTGAAATGTGACATTTGTATAATACTGGATCTTTAAACATGAGCTCTTCTTGGATTATTTAATCTTAAGGACCAGGTGGAAGTTGAAAAATATAAGAATAATATTCAAAGAGACAACACAGAAATAACTTACAGTTGAGAAACTGTCCTACGTTCCCAGCCAACAGGACAGCACATAGTAGTCCAAGACCCATGGAGACACATCTGAAAGGAGGGTTTCTTCTCTGAAAATCAACTGTATCGACAATAAAAAGACAATTTAATAATCCCATAGGGACCGACTTGCCTCTTCATCAAACTCTACCAAGGAAGAAACACTCTAGAAAAACAGTTTGTGAGCATCTACATAAAGTTTCAAAAGTGTTTCAAGTTTATCAACACATTTCTGTCCAAACTCACATGGTTTACACTTCTTAATACTTGTGCTCAATACTCCTGATGTTCTGTCTTGTAGTGTGTTTTCAGGTTGATGTGTTACCTTTTGTCACAAGGCCCTCCATGGTGAGGTTCCTCTTCATATGTATGTTGTCATCAATCTCCATCAGATCCATTGTGCTAACCATCTCATTGTTTTCAAGTTAAGAAGAAAACTTGTTTGTAATCAGTTAGATATAAAATGATGGGTCTAAACACTCATACAAATTCTAGTTTCAAAACCCATTATTCTTCGCTTTCTCATGCATGCCTCAGTTCTAACTTAAAATCGTGGAATAATGTAAGATGGGACATTGACAGTTTGATACTGAATAATTTAAAAAAACTCAGCAGGTAATATAAGAGACCTATTTGCTATAAATAAGTTTAAATTATATCTTGTAAGTTATTTGTTAAGTTCAAACAATTAAGCTTACTTGAGGTAATCAAAGTTTTTAAGAATTAATGAAACCATTTAAAACTGCAAGAAGCACTCAGAATAGGTCTAGGATGAAAATGAATTCAAGTTTTGGTAAAATATTTATTAATGGAATCGGAATAAAGTCACCAAATGTGTACTTACCATGAATCAAAGGAGACAGAAAGGAGTCTGTATCACTTCAACTGCATTCCCGTAAAGATGCTGATTTACAATGAACATCGACGTGAATGATAACGCAGAGTTATATTTATTGTGCAGATAACAGGAAGCTCCTTTTGCCTATGTCATCCAATGTTTGACTGAACATCCAGATGTACTGTATTAACAAGAATCAAGTGGGAGTTCACCAGTTATCACAAAGTGGTTTTTTAGCTCTCAGGCTCCAGTCCTTCATCTTCTGCAGTTTCCGTTCCTTCTTTCCACAGATTCACTTCCCACTGAGGTCAAACAGGGCAGTGACAAAGTTACAGGGGATAAATGTAGATAGGGTGTTAGCCATGTAGCCACTAACCCAGCAGTGTGCAGTTCAATAACACACTGTAGTTCAAGAACATGCATATTAAGGGCATTAGCATTTTAAGACCTTGTTGAAAATCAATGGTTCTCAAGGATCAAACCCTCTTTGGGTAACACTTAAGGTGACAGTATTCACCATTAACTGGCTTATGAGCATGCTAATTGGTAGCATACTGGCTGCTTTTTAGTCATTTGTAAGTACTAATACCTTTGTAGAGGCCATTTTAATCATGATAGCTTTAGTTTCAGAAGTATGGTTTAAGTTTGTTTCAATAAAGTATATTTTTTGTTTTGTAAGAAATAAGTATTAATTTGTGCGAAGTACTTGATTTGACATAGAAACCTTTATGGTGAATAATAGATTTATTTGGGCATATTTTGGCAGGTATTTTGTGTTATGGGTGGAGCCGAGTTAATCTTTGGGTGCGATGCACAGGTGGTGAGAAAAAAAAGTAGATTGTCTTTGTTTGTGGACTGTGGTGGAGGTATAGGAGCCACGCGGCGAATGTTTTTGATCGTGACCTTTTGTTATGAGTTTCGATATATTCATTTTGGATCTGTTCTGGAAAGTGGAATTCCGAATAAAATAAGAAATCAAGTGAAACAACGGATCTGTGAGTATATTTAAGTGAACACGCATCAGGAATGAACAGGTTGGCTCCTATGACACAAGTGACAATTTTTATATGACACACAAGAAGAAATTGCCACTACAACCTTATTCTACATGACCATATTCTATAGCTATTGGCTAAATTATGCTATATACAGCACAGAATTGCAAACTTGGAATTGGTTGGGATTGCTCCACCTGATTGTGACAAGATTCTGAGATAACATTTCTATACAGCAGATTTGTTATTAAAAATAATTATCTCTGACCAATGCTATCAATGTGCCCAGCTGTTGAATGGGTTTGAATGGATTATAGTTGCTGTGCAGACAAATGATTTGAACCAATAGACTGCTATTGGTTCAAGAATTAAAACTGTGCCAGATTCAAAGTATGAACTAGAGGCAGACATATCTGGCTGTTTTAACTAACTTGTATTGCCCTTTTTGATGCCCTCGTTGTTTTATGACATGGTTCATATATATTGTGATTCCTTTATTGTGATATGTCTGAAACCATGCAAACCAGCCTGTCTTGGCTAGGACACTCTTGTAAAAGAGATTCTTAATCTCAATGAGACTTTTTCTGGTTAAATAAAGGTTAAATAAAAAAGTGGCAGCATGCCTGCTCGTATATTTGTGGGTCAATATATGAGGTCTTTTCAAAACACATTCATTTTTTTGTTGACGACATGGGGCCCGTTTCTGAAATAAGGTTTTGTGCAAACTCTGAGTCAGTAAACCCTAAAATGAGGGAAACTCTGGGTATTCCGTTTCAGAAGAGGAGGTCACTCAAACCAGAGAAAGAGGAGTAACTCCAGCCCGTTTCAGAGGGCAAGGTTACTTGGTTACCTCTGAGTCAGTTACTATGGTAACTGAGTCTGTGGACCTAACCTGGTTGGGGGCAGGTTTTTTTCAATGAACCTTGAGTTTCTCTCAGTCTCCACCCTCTTTCAGAGCCAGAAACGCTGTTTCATTTCCTCATTCTTTCATTGAGTCCGTATCACGCGCGTGTTAGTGAAGATTCACCGGTTGTCTGAATAAAAATCCAGGTTGTTTTAATATGATATGTTAGGGTGGCAATACTACAGCGTATATAAGGCAAGCTATTTTATCGAACATGGCATGTCTTTAAATCGGTATGAAGGGGCTGCATTAGGGAATTAGAGCCTAGGCTACATTAACGTCAGGAGATGTTAATTAAATTAAGGTTGACTAATAAACTAAACGGGATAAAGATGCGAGGACATTTAGCCTATGTGTGTGAACACTGTTACCTCCTACATTAGCAAATGCATTGCTGATGTCACCACCACCAGAACAATCACCACCCGAGCTAACCAGAAGCCATGGCTGACAGGAGAGGTACGCGGGCTACTGAGGGCCAGGAACACCGCCTTCAGAGCTGGGGATGCAGCCTGCCTGAGAACAGCGAGGGCCAACCTGTCCCGTGGCATCAGGGAAGCCAAATGCAGCTACACACTAAAAATAACCGGACACTTCAAGGACAGCAGAGACGCGCAGAGCCTGTGGCGTGGTATCCAGACCATCATAGACTACAAACCCAAGCCACAGACCTGTGACAGCAACACCTCTCTGCTGAACGACCTCAACAGCTTCTTTGCCAGGTCTGAAGCACACAACAGCACGCCCCCACAGAAGACCACCCCCCCTCCCCACGACCAGACCCTGTGCCTGACTGCAGCCAGCGTGAAGAGAACCTTCCCCAAGATCAACACCCGCAAGGCTGCAGGTCCAGACAACATTCCTGGCTGTGTGCTGAAGGACTGTGCAGAGGAGCTCAAAGATGTCTTCACAGACATTTTCAACGCTTCTCTGAGTCAGGCTGTTGTTCCGTCGTACTTCAAAGCCACCACCATCATACCCATTCCAAAGAAGCCCTCACCATCCACTTTCAATGACTATCGACCCGTTGCACTGACCCCCATCGCCATGAAGTGCTTTGAAAGGTTAGTCATGGCCCACATCAAATCCACCCTCCCCGCCACCCTGGACCCCTACCAGTTTGTATACCGAGGTAACAGATCCACCAAGGATGCCATCTGTTCTGCTCTTCACCCAGCCCTCACCCACCTGGACACCAAAAACTCATACGTCAGAATGCTGTTCATTTATTTATTTATTTTTTATTTTTTATTTTACAGGGACATTGCATATTAATAAACATTTCTGTAAATATGCCAGAGTTAGCCAAAAGGCTAATTTTCATCTGTTGTCCCTGGCCAGATTTTATAAAAGGCTCCCTAAAAATAATTAAAAAAAAGCTCAATTCACACATACTCCGTCCACCATTCACGCACTATGGCTTCATCTGCTCGGCCGAATACCTTATTACTACTCACAACCTTGATTTCCTTTTCCTCACTGAGTCTTGGGTTAAACCAGGGATGTGCTTATGCCCTGTAGTGGAGCTCTGCCCACCCGGCTTCACTTATTTAAATGAGCCGAGATAAAATGGTCGTGGTGGAGGCATTGCAGCAGTTTTTAAGGATAGGATTCACTTATGCTCCACTCAGCTACGGTTCCTTTAAGACTTTTGAATTACTTCTGTTTTTAATTGAGTGTGATTACCCCATTTGCTGTGCAATTATATATCGACCTCCTAATTCAAATGTGGGTTTCCTCAGTGAATTCTCAGAGCTAATGACATCTCTTGTGCTTAAATTTGAGCTATTATCGCTGGAGATTCTAACATTCATATTGACAACCCCTCAAATGAATTTGCCTCAGAATTCTTAATTATCTTTCAATCTTGTACAGCAAGTCTCTGGCCCAACATACAATCGTGGGCTTGCCCTTGACCTTGTTTTTATTCTGGGTATGAACCTCAACTCTTTGAACAAGTTTGATTTTGTATCTGACCATAAAGGTATTATTTTTGATGTTCCTTTATTCATCTAAAAACATTGCCAATAGAATGCAATAATCCTAAATTATTGTAAATACAAAACACAGATACAAGTACGGTTACCTCTTGTACGTAACGTTGTAATATGTTAAATGTATGCTTTATGTTATTATGAAGAATGTTCATTTTACGAAAAGCCGGACTCGAGAAAATAAAATAAATTAAGGGGCGTGCAGTGAGTCCGCGTCTGCACATCGGAGAACCCTGAGAACATGACAGCTACTTTACTGACTTTGTCTTGTTTTGAGTCATTTTAATCAGATACAGCCATAAAAAAATAAGAAATTAAGCGCGGCCGGTTCCGCATCCGCACATCGCAGAACAACACAGAGAACATGAAAGCTACATTGTCGCTTTTTTGAGTCATGTTAGTCAGATACAAACAGAACACTCCCGGTTTTCTCCATAATGAAGGCTGTCAACGATGTGTACCTGCGTGCCTGTGCTCGTGCATGAAGTGTACCATGCCAAAGAACACCTCTCCGAAGCATGCCAGGTGAAGCGATCACACTGGTCAAACGAAATGGACTTTACGGGTGAAGCGTGCTTATAGGCACGGTACAGATTGCCAGTGTAATCGCGCCCTTAGTGCCTGTTGCATTGGCCTAGCCTCTGCTGCTGGTATGCTTTGTGCGCTCCTCCGCATTGCACTTATCATGCAAAAATCCTTGCAAAATAAAAGTCCTAAAAGTAAAGTCATTTCGAGTAATCTTTTTTGAAGTCTAAGTCAAGTCAAGTCTTTTATCACTGTCAAGCAAATCTCAAGTCCTCAAATTTGCGACAAGAGTCTGACTCGAGTCAAGTGATGTGACTCGAGTCCCCCACCTCTGGTATTTGGTCATAAATCAAAATTTAAAAAACAACTCTATACCCACATTTATTTTGAGTTCTCCTACAATTTGTTCCAGAAACACCCTGTGTCAAGCAATGCTGAGTAAACACTAAGTGCTTTCCGTAAAAAAAAAAAAAAAAAAAAATTGCAAAAGCTGCTCTCCTCAGCATGAAGAACTTTCAGAATGAGCAGTAACAAAATGCTGAGATATGATGAAGTGAAACAAAACAAAATGTGCCATTTGTCAACATTTTCATTATGACAAAAACAGTTGTCATGTTGATGAGTGGCGGACACTGAGCAGTTTTCTGCTGCTTCAGACTTCAGATTAAGAAGATGACGTGTCAGTCAGGGCAGCTTCTGTTCCTCAGTATTCTGTCCCTTT